TTAACGCTGGCAGATGTTCGTGCTTTGTTTGACAGCCTCATGGAAAAAGCACCATCCCTAGGGAGCTATCTGGCTCCACAGGCTCCCATAGTCAAGTTCCCGATATTCGAGATGGCGTGCGTACAAGTTCTGAACGGAGAGACTCGGCTTTTGACGCGAAACTCTGTCGCGGCTCTAGCTCAATTTGCTGCTCCAGCCTTAATCCAACCTCAGCATGCCGCAGCCAACAAGGAAAATAAAAAGCTCAGCTTTGCTGAGCAAGCACTTAAGAAGCGGAAGGTGGATGCGCAACAGCAACCGAGGTAGGAGCTTTTTAAATGTCGTTGTCATGTCAATTTGACCAATTCCTTTTGTATATGAACAGATACGAGTTGGTGCAATACATTCCACCGACGTCTAATATTGCCGAACGTTTTTTTAGCCAAGCTGGAATCGTGTTGTCTCCTCAGCGGCAAGCCATGGCGCCGGCCCAACTGGAAAACATCCTATTTCTCAAGACAAATCGCCGATATTGGAACGTGGCAATGGTGCAGATGGTTGGTAAGCAGAATTGAATTTGAGGTATGCATAATGTATTTCATCTTTGTCAAGGGTGCAATAATGTATTTCATGTCGGCTCTACCATGCTCACCATTATATATTTCATCAGTTGTTTACCATATAATTGCAATACTATTCTAGGAAACCCTGTATATCAATAGAACTAGGTGAAGACAAATGTGAGTGTAAGTCGACTCCACGCCCGTGCATCTTCCTGCATGGCTTGGGCAACCCAAACGAGATGCCAGACCTTCAAGACTCGCCTAAGTTGACAAAACAGAAGTTCGGAGACATTGGTGACCACGCTCCGTGTTGTATTACAGTCAAGTACGCCGTCTTGAACACTGTTGACGCTGAATGGACAGACGACGCACTTATGGACAAGTTTTGTGATTTCTCGCTTTCAATGAGTGCTTCCAGTGACGCATCTACACGGACCATTTCGGATACTATCGTTGTGACGCATTCGATGGGTGGACTAGTGATGGCGAATCCTCTCGCTACAGGGAAGTGTAAATTCGCTGACACAACGACGTGGGTGAGTCTCAGTGCACCGATGAAAGGAAGCATGGCTGGAGATTATATCCAAGAACTGTGTGACGGTGAGGTCAGTTCCGTTGCAGTACCATTACTACACTGGGTCGGCCAGTGTCCTCCCTCGGCTTCACGTAAATCAATATCCTACGAAGGTGGAGAATACAGCAACGCCGCTCTAGTCGCAGCGTACAAAAAGGCTCAAGAAGCATATCGTACTAATGTGGACGCAGCCATGTGTACCGGTTATGCGACCCCTTTGTCGAAGTTCTACGTTTCGTGCATCGTCGGAGGCACCGTGATTCCGCATAAATCATCGAAAAACGACGGTCTAGTGGAGTTCCAGAGCTGCTTGGGAGGCCTCGACCCAAACCTGTTCGGGAACAGCTACGAGAACACTTTTTACAGACCAGTTTTGAACCACGCAGACACGGCGTTTCTGACCCACGACAGTATCTTTAAAGACTCCCAGAAGCCATTCAAGTGGTTCGAGTGCTTACTTTGAGCTCTTTCTAAACTTAATGGGCAAATTCCAATGTCGCTTTTTGCTTAGCCGGTTTGTATAACTTTTCTTTGAACGCTTCATCAAGCAAGAACTCGGACCACATGTCAGCAAAACTCTTGCCTTCTATCGCCGACGGATCGACGGGAGCAACAAGCCCGGTGATAGACGAGAACCGTCCCCCGCCAATATTTCCTTCAATTTGATACCCCAAGCCAAAGCTTTTGTTCCTCCGAAACCCCCTGCATAATAGTACATTCAAATAGTATTCTCAGAAATAGTAGTAGTAAAACTGTCAGCATTTGTAAAAACGAACCATTATTCTCGCCATGATTCGTCCTTCTAAGTACTATCCACATAGGGTAGTAAAATAGTCAAAAGTCAGCAGAAATACTACGTGGTAACATCGTTTAGTAAAGTACGGTCGGTGCTCGTACCACCAATTCAGCCGCAAGTCTTTTATCCAGCACGTCGCGCTCCGAATTCTAGTGCGTCGCTGTACTTTCAAGCGCCTACACAAATTTGTTCATCAGTAAAAAATACAACAGAAAAATAGTAATTTCCCGTACCTCTCGAAGTTGTTCACACTCCCCGTGTGTTTTCTTGGCCAGTTTCTCCATAACCCTCTCAAAATCGTTCGTTCTTCCGAAGAGGCTGGCGCGTTTGCAGCTCTGCCTTCGCTTGTATCACAGCAACACGCTCTTTCTGATCCTTGCTCTCCACCTGGAACTGATGCAAGACGCCTTCAAGAGCATCCAGGTCTCGCTGCAGTCGCTCAGCGTCTTGGTGGGCGACTACCTTATCGGCTTCCGACGTAGTCAACCGAGCCTCCAGGTCATACAGTTTCTGGCTGTCAATCGAGCTCGAGTGCTCCTCGTTTTATGCAAGCAACGCTGCCTTCTCCGTCTCGTTCTCTGTCTTTATCTTCTCAATTTTTCTGCTAATAAATCCATGTATCCTTGTTCATACTCGACAGCTCTACTACGAGCCTCCCGCTCGTCCTCCGACAACGTCTTATTAGCAGCTTGCAGCTCTTCTACACGGTCGCGTAAAGCGATCAACTTCTTCTCGTGAGTTTGACACTGCGTCGCTAGAACATCCGCCAGATGAAAAAGTAATATTAAGTAATCTCGTTCCAAAGTGCTAGTGCGTTTTAATATCATTACCTCAGCATGGGACTGTTGCAGTTCCAGCACTAGTCGATCACGCTCTGACCCTGAAGTGGACCCTTCTTTGCGCTGTGTTGTCACATCATCTGGAGCCTCTCAATAGTAGCCTTCTGCTGGGCAATTTCCAGCTCCTTAAACAATAGTACAAATAGGTATTAATAAAAGTATTACAAAACACTCATTAAAAAGCTGGTCTCACCTACCTGCTGCTTCATCTGTCGTTTAAGCTGTCTCTCTCCCCGCTCAACTCTCTAGCTCGAGAAACTATCAATACACTGCATGAATAAACACAAAGCAGCTGGTCGGTTTTATACTTTCGACTCGAGAGTCTCGTTCTGCTTTTTTCGCTGCAAGAGAGCACGCTCCAACGCGCAGATATACTGCTCTTGCCCGTCCTCTTCCGCAGCAGCAGATGTAGCTTTTGGGGATGGAGAAGGGGGCGCTACTACGGCGGTGAAGCGATTCCACAGATGGTCATCGTCATTGCTCTCTATTGGTCCCGACCACATCGAATTTATTCTTCTGTGGGGTCTACACAACCAGTATTTGAAGAATACTTATAAGGAACATAGTACTTTCTATGAAAACGTTTTCATTTTTAGCAAAAGTCAAATAGTCACTCGCATACAAATTTCCTTTTGAATGCACGCTTGAATTATTTTTAAGCAAAATTCGTACTTTACAGGAGTTTGCATTACGCTAACCAATTATTTCTTAAAGCGTTTAGTATTCTTGTAAATGAAAGATAAAAACAATATTACACGTAATTTATACACGTGGGAAGTATTGGCCGTTCTACTCGAAATTACCGCGCGCAAATCTGCTATAAACTTGGCTTGAGTGAGAAACCCACCAAAGTCCGATATGCGGCGACTCAAGTACGATCTGGACCGTTTTCAAAGATGTACTTGTAGTTTTTATCTGTATTTTCTACTGTACATGGTTGCGGTTTTCTTGGCTCTATAGCTTTCGCGCGCTACATCATAGTATCAGTTTTCAGTACACACGAAGCCGCCTTTCCTGTGTAAATGACGACACTACTGTCGGTATGCTTCGTCAACAATGATGATTCGCTCAACATATGTAACATGAACTATAGTGGGTAATGTTACATGAAATGTATCTCTAAGCAGATTTAGCTTCGTCATCACTGATGGTGATTGCGTCGGGAGGGGTAGCCTATTCTCCCTCTCAAGGTCTACATGTAACGCTTTGCTATTCAATTGCAGCTTCACCATAAATTTACAGTACCGGTAGCTGATTTTGTCGCATTATATCGCTTAAGCCGTGCTGCTCACCAAAGAACTCTTTCGGCCAAGCTCTACAGCCTAAAAATATTTTTTTCAAGAAAACATCTCGTAGCATTTATTAGTACGTAGAGGAGTAAAGTGAGCTTTATTTTATTTCGTCAACCAAGTTTCTATCAGCTTTTACTCATCCCAAACCTTTACTGTGAAGTGAATACTGTGAAGTGTACAGTATACAAATTGGTTAGAAATAAGACCTTCTCATTTGAGATTTGTAATGAATCGATACCTACATTTGTTATCTGCACAAACTCTCGAATAAATCCCTATTGGGCTGTAGGTACTACACCTCGTAGCACTACCAGGAAAAAGATCGCTTTGAAGGCCACTCCATCGAAACAAGTTTCAAATTGTAGTCACGTTATTTGAATACTTTTATTCCACTGAATTGTACTCACGTTACGTCGGTAGTGTACCTGTGAGCAGTGCCCGAGCAGTTGAATCAATTTTGATTGCCTTTGCTACCGTCCTACAGGGTGATTTCTATCGGTCACTGTTGGAGCCGAAACATTGAGGACGCCGGTTAAATACTCCACCTCCAAAATGATGAAAGCACTGTAAGCCATAAATCCAAAGTCTGGGGTTCGGGCCTGGCACAAAACGAGCTCCTCTCCACCAAACGTCGTCTTCAAAGCAGGTTTGTTTGCACAGTCAAGAGGCTTGTCCTGGACGCTTGAGAATGGAGCAACCGCGAGATTATTGAGGGCCGACACAATTTCATCGAAGGGGGTGATCGATGAAAGACAACTAACTTTCCGCGTGGCCCGGTTGTCACTGCGGGAGCTCTCCGCCACGTACGCAGCCCCATCTTCAAGAAAGTACGTAAACTCCATCTCGTCCTGAACAAATGTGGCAAAGCCATCGTAGCGCACGCTGGTGCTATCGGGAGACAAAACCGGACTGGCGAAAACATCAAAGACGGACTGTCCATGAATTTGCCTTGCTTGGTCTGTGACAATAAAAGTGAGGTGTAGTGGCTGGAATTCGCTCTGACGAAGTGGCGGTTGAGTCTGCTGCTGGAGCTCATCCAAAGCGGCCAGAGCCACAGAAAAAAACTGAAGATATGCAAGAACAATGACAACGGGCTGCATGGCTTTGCGTTGGACAACGAGGATAAATTTGTTTGGGTCCAATGCTTGAAAGGAGAATGACAGCATACCTCAACAACGATCATCTGACCAATTAAACGCCGAGGGTGAATTTGTTCCGCGTATAACAAGCATTTCTCCGGGTGTGTTTCTTACAGTGTGTTTTTGGAAAAACCGAATACATTCAGTTTGCGGCATTGTTCCATGTACCAAACAAAACTTTAGGTCAGGGGTAACTTTAAAATCAGAGCAGTTGATATACCGGTACTAATCAAATCAACTGATAGGCCAGTTAATGCACCTAATGTTTTCTTCTAGACTCGTGTTTAGGATGCAGCATACTGTCCTGGGTAGAGAGGACGACTTTGTGAACGTAAGTACGTGTAGGTGAGGGCGAAGAAGCTTTAGAAGAACAAGAAGCTTGCGATCGATTGGACAAGAAGAAGCGAGGATGCCATGGCGATGTCATTTAAAAACCTGCAAAACACTCCAGAGGAGAACATAGTCGTATACGAATCCACTGAATTGGGTATATACGATCCGATATCTTGGCTCGGACGTAGCTCAGCATTATCTTTCGTTTCGGACCCCTAGATAGTAGGAAGTAATTATCGTCGATTTTGATTCACTAAAAACAATCACGAAACAAGAAGCTGGAAACCGCTTACTGGAGTATTTTTGTACAGCGGAGGTGTTGTCGATGTGTTAGCTAATGATTAGTCCTATAACATACAACTTGACTGTGAAAATCCCGGATGTAATTTGTTGTGTGCGCGGAACTACAGTACCGTACTGTACTATCAAAATGACAGCCGTAGTCTAAGGTAAAATACAGCATGCCTATTTTCAATGAGCCTCACAGCAGTGCTGTGACAGCACTTCATTTCTCTTTTGGCGTTAGAAGAAAAAAAACGCAACGAAAGCCTTTTGAACAAAGTAGATCATGAACAAGAATATAATTTTCGTGGTCGCGGCTCTGCTGCAGCTTACTGGAGCCTTCGCGAGAATTGGCGTTTCTGTAGAGGAAAAGTGTTCTGGCCTGTGCACGCGCGACTTGATGCGCGTTTGTGGGTCAAATGGAGTTACGTACGATAACGAGTGCTGGTTTGAAGTTGTGCAGTGTGAGGGCCCAGGAATCAAGCTGAAGAACAAGGGGAGATGCAGCAAGAGAAGAAAAAGGTGCCTTCACCTACGGACTCCTCATACCAAGCGTAGAGCTCACTAAACCGTAATGAAATATCAGTTGCAGTGCTGGCTTGGTTCATTCTTTTTTTTTTACGCAGCTTATAATGAAAAGTAGGGGTACGCGAGTGATATGACTATTAATAAGCTCTTTAAAGCTATTTTATTTTCGATCCGATTTCTAGAAGCGGGCGTCTTGAACAAAACACATAGCGTCGAAGAATTTTTACAATCAAGTTTCTGTGCTCGCCGTTTTGATTTAAGTTTTTCTTCTTTTTTGGCAAGCAACTTTTCTTAAAGTCACCTTTAAAAAAACACCAATTTTTCAGCAAAAAAAAACGGTTGTTTGCAGGATGCACCATAAACTGAAGTTCAATTTTTGTTTTTGTTTATCCTAAAAACATACGTATTCAGAAGATGAGAACAAGCAAAGCTGTAAGCTAGACCAATTTGTTCAAGACGCCCGCTTCTAGAAATCGGATCGAAAATAAAATAGCTTTAAAGAGCTTAGTCATATCACTCGCGTACCCCCCCCTTGTACTTTTCATTATAAGCTGCGTATAAAAGAATGAACCTAGCCAGCACTGCAACTGGTGTTTCATTCCGGTTTAGTGAGCTCTACTCTTTGTATGAGGAGTCCGAGGGTGAAGGGACCTTTTTCTTCTCTTGCTGCATCTCCCCTTGTTCTTCAGCTTGATTCCTGGGCCCTCACACTGCACAACTTCAAACCAGCACTCCTTATCGTACGTAACTCCGTTTGACCCACAAATGCGCATCAAGTCGCGCGTGCAGATCACGGATCCGGATCAGATCCATCTACGACGTCGTCAAAGTGGCCGTAACGTGCATTGATCTTTTGCGCCAGCGACGTAAGCCGAGGTGCATCCGACATAAACCGAGGCTGTATCGTATCACTCTTCTCCGAGTGCGCAGTCTCGCTGCTCCTTCCGCTCTTCAGACTAGCTGATTTTGGGCGAAGATGGAACAGTCCGCCAAGGTTGTCGATGTAGTCCTCTTGCGTATTCAGTCGTTGTTAGCCTCCTTTGCTCTCCCTCTGACATCAATTACTCCTCGCGTTGGATCAAAGTAATCTCTTTCCAGATGAAGAATTGTCTACTTGAAGCAGTGCGTTGTACCTTCTTGCAGCTTTATATTCTTGAGTTGCATACACAGCTCATCGCTTCTTCGCCGCAGACCATCGATCTCGTCTTTGATGCATTGTCATTGCTTGCGTTGTCTACACTTTTCTTTCTCGTGGTAGGGTTTTCGTGCGTTGATGGCTGCTTCGCCACTTGAATATCGATGAAGTATCGCTTTCTTCCACACAGTCGGTTGGTACCACTGAATTCAGCTCCAAGAAGAAGGCGGCGTTGGTGAGAAGTTAGCTTTGGACTCCATCCCGAATTGCAGGACACTTATAAAAAAACCGAAGCAGCATTATTACTGTCAGACTGCGAGTTTAATTTGGAAACTCGACAAAGATTGCTTGATACCACGGACGGTCCTTCTGGTACTTTCAGAGATATAGGTCGAATACTAAAGTTGAACTGACCTCTGTCCATGCCCCCCCCTCCACCCTCCCGCTCAAGCGATCAACGCAGAAGAAACCTCGTCAATATGTGCGTCAGAGTGCTGTAGAACAAATTTAGCGTCGTTTCTTAAAAATATGTCCAATTCTTTGATAGCAAGAAGAAACACGATTGCATAAAGAAGTCAAGATTCTGCGTTTTTGTTTTCAAATAGAACGGCTCCTGAAAGATAACCAGTCGTGGAATATCTCGAACCTAAGCGCCCTACCAGTTGTGCTACAAAGTGGCATTTATGGCAAAAAAGCCACAATAAGCACCTTGGTGCCCGGATTTCAGTTTGACTACTCGACCGGCGCGATACTGGTCCAAATGGCTCCCACCGAGTCAAGCTCATTTCCGCTATAGCCAGCGAAGCCACCCAAATGGTAACCGTGTGGTGCACTGTCCTTGCCAATCTTTGACGTGGGGGAACCGCCAGAAATAGTATTTCCGGCGTCGGTTGTGAACTCGATGTACATGATGCGCGTATGACGGTAGTACTTCCCCCAGTGCGCTTGAATCCCAATAATATGCTCGTCTTCAGCAAGCTCGAGTGTCTTCGCGGCACCACCTTTACCCCCGTGGTGGAGCATGGTCGTCTGCCCCGACCTATCTTCCACGTTTAGAATGACGGCATCGACGCGATCAGCAGCTCGGATCGTAATGGACCGTACATTTTGGCCAGGCGAAGCGATGACCAGGTCCGAGTATTTGTGGCCATGGAGTCCACCGAAAGTCTCCCAAGAAGAACCCCATTGTCCAAAGCAGTGGAACCGCAAACCACGCACGCAATCGTTGCCAGAACTTTAAAAATGAGCTTCATCACCGGGTTTCGATTCTGGATAAAGGAAAATGAGCTTATGACCTTTTTGTCTAACCCGCACAGACATGAAACTACCGAACGCCCCCAGCATTTCGAGAAGAAGCGCACGGACGTAATCAGATTAGTTTGGTGTACGAACTCGTCCAGTTGCACCATGTTGTTGTCAAACAGTACTTTTTAAAAGTGTTTAGTCCCAAACGCAAACAGAAGTCCCCCTGAATAAGCGTAGCTTACATTTCGTTTATCTATATAAATCAGAACACGATGATAAACGATACTCCTGACAAACGACCTGATCGATTGGTTTTCCTATATTTACTTTTATCAGACGACCCCTAGGCTTATTGAGGAAGTCTTCTTTCAATGATGCGACCCCAAAACAACATCATGCAAAAATAAAATTGCCAATCAGAATCAAGTTTCTTATTTACATAATTTCAGCCACTCAGGGCTTTTTAAGTTACAATTACAATCTTAAACATGCCGGAGGCGTCTTACGGCAGCCCAAAAGGACCCACTAGAGGTGCTAAATCGCAACGCGGCCTATTTCAACTCATTTTTTCGAAGATATGCCTATTTAGCTGCCGTTTTATGCTCTATACTGACAGCCGTACACTAATGGTCGGTTTCCTGAAGGTATTCGAGGGAAAGCTGTTTTCCGGGGTCAGGAGAGCAAGTTCAAGCGGAATAGCTGTTCACCGTCCTCGTACTCTCTCCCAGAACGACGGAGCTCGTAACCAACTCGTAGTTAGCAGTCATTTTAGATTTCTCCAGCTCGAGAAGCAAGCAAACACAACAACCAAAACCGGAAACGCCTGCCTTCGCCATGCCTGCCCCAACACTTCCACGCGGCCCCTACCTTCTCCTTTTTCCCAAAGACGTTGAGGGCGCCATCGACACACCAGCGTATGCCATGGTGAAAAGTTCTCGTGAGGCTACAGCAACTGTCATCTTGGACGGTGACAATGACGACAAAGAGAAACTGGTGAAGGTTCCGAGGACCAAGGCGCTGGCAAGAAAGGTGAACCGAAATGATGCGGAACGACAGCGACTAGGGACGTGGATAAGACAAGCTGTATGTGTGAAGAGCGACGGTCGCTTCCGTTACGGTCAAGTGACTGGCTACTCGGACAACCGTCTTACAATCTGCACCCTATCTGGACCGATAGAAGGCAACCGCGATGCTATCTGCGACACCGTATACCCAGTCGTGGCACTGGTAATGGGCTGTCACCAGCTCGAAGAAGAGACCTAGAACTACGAGCAACTGACGGGCATCCACGATGCCCTCATGGAAAGGCTTTTGTCCCCTCTGACATCTGAGGCCCCTCAGAACGCGTTAACACTGGCACAACCCATGCAAGGCCTTCCTTCTGATGTATCCCCGGGTTTCGATAGAGTAGCCAGGTGGATCGACTCGCATACAGGCGAATGTACTCAATCTCTGTGCATCACGTGGTAAACTACGTTTACTTCGTGGATGGAGGCAAACCAGTACCCAGTCACGTGAAGGCCTCGTTCGGATCATCCTTTTGCAATTCGGTGGGAGACAGTAAAGCTACTGAAAACGTACCGGCTCCGAATCTAGGTGCGGCACAAACCAACCCGTCCAATTCGTCCGGATTCTTTGATATCCTACGCGTCGACGACGATGAAGAAGAAGCCCATGAGGAGACTCTGCTCGCACAAACCGTGCTCTCAGGAGAATCTGACAGTAGCCATCCGCCACGTGTTACCCCTCGAAACCGTTTGCAGCACCCTCGGCAACAGTCGTCGCGGCCTCATGCTACAACAGGCGACGCGTTCCCAGCCAACTCACACATTGCCACCCGACTAGCTGATGCGTCTACAGCAGAGGAAGAAATACGCGCCTTAATCGGCATGCACAAGCCCCACTTACTATCATACCACCTTTCGACCCAATCAAATCCAGACTCGTCTTTAAAACGGCCGGAAGCCGTGGACATCGACGGCTCAGTGACGAAGGGGAACAAATTCAGCTTCCAACCCTCAGCTGAACAGCGGCGGGTACATGAGGCGGTCACAGCCGAAGCGCACAGAGGTAAGTCCCCTTCAGAATTTGTGGAATTATTGGTATCAAGCAGTGACCTGTGGGTCTACCCTGGGGTAGCTACCCGGGCATACGACCTAGAATTCGGAAGCCGCGGTCTTTCATTCCTTCACTTCACCCCAGTAAACCAAATGCTGCGACTCCGACGACAGCGCGACAGCTTTATCAACATGAGCGATTTTTCAGTGTCAGCAAAGTTCTTGGCTGCTCCAGATCCTTCCTCATGGGAAGACGTTCTTGCTGGCGCAAATGGATTACAACAATACTGTATCGCACATTGTGATCCAGTGACGCAACATCTCGGAACCACCCTCTACAACTTTGTCGTGGAGCTTAAAGCCCGTCAATTATGGCCACATGACATGCTGCTAACGCTGGTGCTGTGGATTGACGCCCAGCTTGGACGGTATCGCAGCGCAGTGATCAGAGAAATCGACGCTGCGTCATCCACACGATTCATGATACCAGCACAGTTCACACCTAACAATGTCGAACTCCATGGACTATTACTTGCTGAGCAGAGGAATCAAATCGACGCGATTCGACAATCCTCGGGGAACCACGCGACTCAAACGTCAAATACTTCGCGCCAACCACGCAGCCAACGCAACGCGGCCAACAGCACGAAAAAGGAGCCAAGCGACAACTACCCCCCCCCACTTTCTCAACAGGATGGAAAAGAAGTCTGCCTTAAGTTCATCTCAAAGAAAGGGTGCACGTCCGGCGATCAGAACGTGTGTATCTTTGCCAGTAGAGCGCACTTCTACCCAGCGGCCATTTCCGACCAACTGCGCAACTATCTTCGCCGAAAGTTTGGTGGTGTTCACAGCAAGTACAAGTGAAGGAGTCCAGGAGCCGATGGTCCTTCGCTCCCTGGACAAATGAGCTCGGACACTCAAACGGTAGTCGCATCATCAAATTCGCCTGCGCATCGTTCTTATCAACAGTCGTCAGGTGTAGGCACCAGGAAATACGACGTGCTCAAGGAAAACAGCCAATCCACGCGGAATTTCAAACCCTCAATCTGTTCCAGATCGGACGACTTGTTGTCCACTGCTCCACTGCTCAAAACACTCCGTCGGTAGACCCTCGCAGGTTGTACCAGCTCGGTCGACGTGGCTCAGTTCGAGCCGCTGCGAAGCATACCAAGTCGGCGGCCCAGCGCACGTCGTACCAGTTCGGTCGACGTGGCTCAGTTCGAGCCACTGCACAGAAAGACAATCGAGCAGTCCGACGCAGGTAATACCAGTGCCGTCGACGACTCAAGTGCGGCTGGCCGAGATCGGCACCTCAACGCAGGTTGCATCGGTGAGTGCTGTAGTGCCCGTGACCGACATGTTCCCCCCTATAGTCAGTACTCCAACCCACGACCAAGTTCCCAGGTTGTACGCGACCAGCTAGCAAAACGTTTGACTGCCAACGCCTCTAATCGCCTCGACATGTTCAGCAAAACGTGCGCAGGATTAGGCATTTCACCACCAGCTAGCTTCCCACTGCGAAACAATAAGCGGCAATGGCAACTCAACAAAGAGAATCAGCGGGTGGTAACTGCAATGGCGCTGGATCACGGAATGAGTCTTCACAACATCGTCGGAATAGTGCGCGGACAAACCAAGAGCGATTATCGGCCGAACAAAGCGTTGTGCCCCTCACGACTCGGCAAGTTGCTTGATGGCTACAAATATAAAGATCTACTGATCAAGATTGCACGTGAGGGCTCGAAGAATCGTGGCGTGCCGTATCAAACACAAGGATGCAGTGGTCAAAATTATGAAAGGTGACGTTAAAAGCGCGTTTCGAAACCTCATGGTAGCTAGTGGTCATGTTCGGTGGATGGCAGCCACGATCCCAAGTTTGGGAGCTCTCATCATCGACATGTCAGCTCCTTTTGGGTGGACAAGCTCTCTAGCATTCTATGGAGCTTTCGGGGGAGCTATTACGTGGCTAGTCAGTCGTGAATCCCCGAATTCGTTGGACCTAAGTTCTGGTGATAACGAACCATTCTTTGCGTATGAGTGGGTGGACGATCACGTTCTCGTCGAGCCACACATTGGAAACCGACTGCACCTTGCAAATGAAGCACTTCGACTCTCGATGTTGGCAGTTCTCGGACCCGGTTCGATCAACGAAGAAAAGTTCTCGGCGTGGGAGACGAAACTTCAAGTCCTCGGATTGGAATTTGACACAGCTGCTTGTACCATTTCGATGCCACACGACAAGATAGGAAAAGCGCTCGAACGGGTCAAAACGATGCAACGCCAGCAGTATACCACACGAACCCAATTGCAGCAGCTTCTCGGCAGTCTACGGCACGTCTGCTAGTGCTTAAGAGCGGCAAAACCATTTTACCAGCGCCTTCAAAGTAAGTGCACTCGAACACCCCGAAACGGCAAGGTAGCAGTCGATGATCACAGTTTTCAAGATCTGTTGTGGTTTGAGGCAATCCTGAGCGAAGGTCGTCTCCAAAAACTACCTCTTGCCATTTTCACCAACGACCAACCAGTGGATGTTCATCTGTACATGGACGCTAGCAACTACGGCCTCGCAGTACTAAACCCTGTTACCAAACAGTACATTCAACTTCAGTTCGATCAAGAAGAGAAAGACCTGATCCACACATCGACAGGCAGTGACGGATTCAACATTAACGTCAGAGAGCAGCTGTGTACAGCTCTTGCTGCGTGGATATTCGGCCCGACGTGGTCTACATCGCCAGTGGTTCTTGTCAAAGCATGGTCCGACAACACGTCAGCAGTATCTTGGACCAACAAGCTAGCGAGCTCTAATCAAATGGGTCAAGAAATTAATCGTGCGATTGGGCTAGCAGAGGCTCTCTTCGGCTTTCGTATGAGCTGCGGTCACCTCCCGGGTTCAATCAACATTATGGCGGATGCTGGGTCACGTGCTTGGTCCCCACCTCATGATAGAATCTGGTCTAACCTTTCCTTTCAATGGCAGCAGATCCCCGTTCCGCCCAATCTCCGCAAAATCTACAAGACCTTCTCAGACAACTTCAATCGCAAGCATTGGCCCCGGGATCAAGACCGAAGTACGCATCCACGTGGAAACGATGGTCAGAGTGGTCCTCCTCCCACGGTTTCGACAAGTGGCTACCCGCAGATGCGCAACAACATTCGCTACAGCTTGCCCTATTTGCCATCCACTACTGGTACTCAACCACGACAACGACAGGAAATCCACTATCCACGAACACCGTGCTGTTCGCCATTAGCCATATCTCGTGGTATCATATGCGAGAACGAGGTTACTCGGTTGGCCTCGACGCAGGACACAAGTTGGCTGTGCGCGGGATGCAAAGGATGTCTCCACCGTCAAGACAAAAACAACCAGTCACGCGCAAAATCCTCCAAGAACTTCGTTCACGCTGCAACTTCAAATCAACCCACGATCGCGTGCTATGGGGGGGCTGCGGTCATGGGCTTTTTCTTCTTGCTCAGGCGATCCGAATATCTCGCCGACGGCAAACGAATCAAACCATACATCATTCGCACGAACGACGTCAAGTTCTTAAACAAGGAAGGCCTTATTACGGAGTCACTTAAATGTGCTGTGGCAGTGTCCATACACTTTCGGGGTAGTAAAACCGACCAAGCCGGCTCCGGAACGTCAAGAACACTGCATAGGTCTGGATCAACGTGGCTGTGTCCGGTTTTGGCTACCTGGGAGCTTGTACAGATCACAAAACGCTTCGAGAGTAACTCTGTGTTGTGCTCGACGAGTCCTGGAAGAACTCTCACCGCCAATGCACTGGGCGACGCTATTAAGACTGCTGCAGCATCAGTCGGCGCTGACCCATCCCAGTTTGGAACACACTCAATGAGAAGTGGCAGAGCAACGGCTCTCTTCGCAGCCGGCACCGACAGACTCACTATAAAGCTCTTTGGTCGTTGGTCCTCAGACGCGTTTGAACTATACACAAGAATGAACGACACAGTCTCCGAGTCTCTATCGCAGCGAATGACGAAGGGTGCCATGTTTCGTGTTAGCCCGGCTACACCGGAGGGGCTTCATCCAGCTCAACATTCCTGAGCTGGCCTAGTTAACACTTCAACATGACATGCCTGCGCCCCTACTTGCTGTATGATCACGGAAATGGTCGGTTTCCTGAAGGTATTCGAGGGAAAGCTGTTTTTCGGGGTCAGGAGAGCAAGTTCAAGCGGAATAGCTGTTCACCGTCCTCGTACTCTCTCCCAGAACGACGGAGCTCGTAACAAACTCGTAGCTAGCAGTCATTTTAGATTTCTCCAGCTCGAGAAGCAAGCAAACCCGCCGCACCTCACCCAAAACGTAGGGGGGCTTCATCCAGCTCAACATTCTTGAGCTGGCCTAGCTAACACTTCAACATGACATGCCTGCGCCCCTACTTGCTGTATAATCACGGAAAAGATAGATAACGTAGACGTTCGTCAAATCTATGGTTTAAAAAAAAAGCTACCTAGTATTGCACCCAGACAAGCGCCGTTGGGTACCGTTAGAGCTGCGGGCAGGGTCGGGCGCGCCACATTTCCAGGAGACATGCACGGCAAAGTACACGTAGTAGTAGTAGTAGTAGTAGTAGTGCGTACAAGGAGGAATTGGTTACGGCAGATGAGCACACCGTTTTTGGAGAGTGGATGCGTCTTCAAAAACATTGGGACTACCTCAAGACAAGATACCGTGAAAAGGTAAGCACATAGCAGGCGGTGTATCAGAAGGTACGCGACCAGAATACGACGCTACAAGAACCGACCAAGCGCAAATAAATGAATTTGGTAAAGCCAAGGACAGATCAACACTGGCGGAGTTCGAGGCAGTCTGCAAGCCTGGATTTATCGAGAAGGAATAAGTTTACGAGGTCGAGTTGAAAGCGCACGAAGAGCAGATGACAAGCGAGTGCCGCTTTTGGATTAATTTTCGTTTAGATTCGATAGTGACAAAGAGTAAAAACCCCGTCAGGCTTGACCGACCCAATTTATGTTGACCTCAACTCTAATACGACAAGACTCTAAGACCCCAAGTCTAAGATGGCAAGACTGTAAGTAGTTTGACAAGACTAAAAATACTACGACAAGACTAAATCTACTATGACAAGACTAAACGTACTTTATTTTAAAGAATGGCTCTAGACACCACAATCATTTGTGTGTTGGACGAGGATCATTCCGACTCACAATCCTTTTGGATGGGTAAGTATCAGAAACCTTAATCTAATGACGTCGCAAGCTACATCGTTCCAAGACTTGCTACATGTGGGCATTTCCACTGACACACATGTGATAAAGAAGGAGACAAGGGATGTCTACGCGTCGTACCTCAAGAAGTTCTGTGAATTCTGTATCTCAAATAAGTCCCCAGACCCCGCAACGGCTCGGCATCATGAATTGCTCGCTTCTTGTCGCGTTCATGGAAAGCGTATCACATTTGTCTCTGTGTCCAACCAAACTGCTGATACGATTTGGGCCGCAGTAGCGAACTACTACGGCAACTATGAACGCCGGGACGAAGCCGGTTCAGACAAGTGAATGGTTTTACCGACCATCAAGGAATCAAGTACGGACTCGGAAATCCCGCCAGGGAAACATTTGTCCGGCGGGTAATGCGTGGACTGAAGAAGCAAAACAGTACTGATTTTACACACCACCAAGCCGCCCCTATTAAGTTGGATGTGCTTCGAGTACTCCAGTCTCACTTAGAAGTCACGTCCGGGTTTACGGAAGCAAGTCGTTTGTGGTTCTTTACTGTGACGGCGCTCGGTTTTTACGGCATGTGCAAAATAAATGAAGTATTGAGCTGTCAGTGGAATAATCTCACCCTAGGCCTCACGCGACCGAGTACTGCCGACCCTAGTATGTCGTACGCAGCCTAAAAGACAAAGCACTGGCTGAGCAACACAGCAGGTTCGAGCGTGAACGTTCTCACAATTGATACGCTAGCCAGATATATTCGCCTTGATAAAAGTCGGATCGTAAAGTCTAAGCACGCATATACTTCTCTGGCCCACTCCAATATGATGGTTTCTGTTATTGGTCGATTGCTCGAAAACCAGAGCTCGCCAATTAACGAATAGCGCACCAGCTTAAAGCCCCAGTCATGGCGCACACGAACATATGTTTTAGCCTGCTTTAAGATCAATTATGCTAGAGTAATCTCCGCTGAAACACCTCGCCATCTAGAAGCCGTTAGTTTTTTTGTCGCAGCTCAATCAATATTTAGCGATATTATACCTTTTTTTAAGGGCAGGTAGACCAGACAATTACGAACAGTTGGACGCGTTCTTGTACGCAGAGATGCGCTAGAAGCGCTATGAATTCGAAGAGACGGCAGCGAGGTTTAACGTATAAAACCATAAAGTTAGCATAAGTGTAAACCAACGATTCTTATTGACCAATCAGCGATTGAGTAAGAAAAAGCCAATAATTACGAATAAAATAACTAAAATTAAGATTGTAAGATTATAATTAAGCATACAGCTGTCTGTACCCGAGCGTTACCGCATCGACAGCAATCACCACCGACATAGGCATTCGTACATTGAATGCAACATTCCTTGAAACGCGCGGGAGTTTATAGTCATTGCCACCACCGCTAATCAGAACAGGTTCCATGACCTTTTGCAAAGTGACAAAACACTTGTCAAGCGTTTGCCACCTAAGCTCGACAAATGCCTGTTTTACTGCCACAATAAGGCTGTCCGAGTCGTAGGCGGCCTTGCGATATTGTATAGCTTGAATAGACGAAAAGAATCCCAAATCCAGTACGTTCAGGTCTGGTGATCGTGCTGGCTGGCAACGCATCTTTATCTTCCAGCCATCAATAGTGCCTGCTTTCTCTAGCTGGGCATCATTTTCGAGACATGGGGTCCCGCATTATCTTGTTCGACGATAATAGTAGAGACTAATAAAAACTTTTAGCTTGAATTTTTTTATAAAAATAAGTACATACCTGGCATCTTGGCTCGGATTGCAGGAAAAACTTTGTTACAAAGAAATTCCCGTTAAAGGTACCGAGTCATTGACACACTCTTAGTAACAAGTGTGCCTTTAGGTCGATTAGCAGAGCTACGAAGGGCTTCAACCGTTTTAACTATAGGCCAAATTCCGATCTTACCATCAAAGTACTGCTTTTTGTGGAAATCGTATCGGGGCCGCGCAACTGCACCAAAAAACATGACTTTACCGATGTACCTTTTGTTTGGACATGACCGATAGGGAAGTTGCTCATTTGCAGTCAGGTAATACTTCGTGGCACCCTTATAAAGATTAAACCACTTTTCATCGACATGCACGTGTCATACATGTGATGCATTCTAAACATCCTGGCACCTTAATATTTTAAAACACGATAAGTTTTTATTAGTTAAGAAAAAATATAACTATTAAAAAAATATTGCATGTTACGTTACCTAGCGGCAAGTCAAAGTGACTTAACACCCATTGAAGACGCTTGGTCTTGTGGTTATCCGCAAGTGTAGGCTTTACACGAGAGGAAGCGCGGCGTAGTGTTCCGTCGGCTAGGTGGCGCTGGAGTGTACTTCTTGGTATTCCGGTTGCAGCGGGCGAGAGAGCGCTGAGTTTGACGTTGGCACAGAGGTACAGAATGTACCAGCTGGACAACCTCGTCCAACGTCAGATATCTTCCACGTTTCGGGCGCACCCGTGATGGGGCGGAAATAGCGTCCACCTCGCCACGGATGCACCACACTTTCTTGATGCTGTTGCGGGAGAGGTTAAACTCTCTCAGAGCAGCACAGATAGTTCCACGGAGAAGCTTACCGCGGACACTCCGCTCCGCTAGGAATAGCACAATGCGAAGACGTGAAGTAGGTGCGATATCCTTCTTCCCGGGTGGTTTTGGCATCTCTCAGTGGGCCAGAGAAGTAAGTAATATCAGTCTTGCCACAGTATTTTTGGTCTTGTTTCGTACTTTTGCTACTGTCATATACATTTAGTCTTGTAAACAAACCTTATCTTTTTGATCTTGTCTCACTTTCTTTTTGCACTCAATGTTTTTTTTTAAACATTCGATTTATTGGTAAAAATTGTAGATTCGAGATGTATGTGCGCCACATAGACCATTTTTACAAAGTACTACCAGAAAAAGTAGCAGCGACAAGTCAAAATCGAGAGACCACCTTGAGCTTTTTTAGGATTTACATTTTTTGGATGCTAAAAAGTGTGCTGTGGCTCGTCACGCTATCGAAAGCTACATGCTTTGTTGTTGTAAGTTGCGGTGATTACTTCAGACCAAGAACTTAGGCAATACCAAGTATTTATTAGCTTCCTTTTCGTCACATCTCCCGTTCATATGAAGCCTGATAGGGTTAGTGTAAGCTTTCAAGTTTGAAATTTCGAGCAAAAATCTAACCCTTCCTTTCATCAATAGAACCGATACTTCCTTTCACTCGCTTTTAGGTGGAGATCCTCATAGAAAACTGTTTTACTCAGCTCGTGGTGATCACGCATTCCAATACCGGATCACTGCAAAGCCTCGTTTTGTACAGTACAAGGAAGTTGCATTTACAGTTAAGAATGACAGTCCGTCGAGTCTACATATTGAGTTGGAATACACTACGCCAACCTCCAGGACACAGCAGACAGTTTAATATCACTCTGAAGCGTCCATGTCACGGGTGCGACACATACTATTACGGACGGAGCAAATCCAGTTCCAGCAGATCACGTGTGTATCAAACGGATCATTTAGAATACCGGAACCGGTATGGTGATTACAAATTGCATGTTGTACTTGAATATGATTTAAATCTCCTTCGAGTTGTGGAGCTGTTTCGATATGATATGAGGGTGCCTGGGCGTTTGTTAGATCGGTACATCTGCTGGTGCTGTATTTAATCATGATCTACAACGTAGTGCAAGCAGCCGTAGCCTATTGGTGTACAGCTTGTCAATTTGTAATCACCTAGATCGGGTTGGGGTCCTGGTGTCGAATTCATTCCTACACTCCACGGCGACGGACGAAGAAAAGGCATTTATTTAACCTTACCCCTCAACCCTCTTCCCAAAACTTAAAGAAGGACCCTCGCAAGATAATTGCGACGACATGATCGGTCCTGGGTTTGTATCTGAGTGCTCCGCACAAGGTCAGCAAACCGCAGGCATGCTCGCTGCGCTACCCTACGCGCAAAACGCGGGGTCAAGTTTGACCTTAACGCTTTGATATGCGTCCTTCGATGTGATGTCTAGCGATAGATTTCACCGGGCGCCCACACTCCCCCCGATGTGGATCCAGTTTGTTGTACCGGTACTGAATACACAGCAGATCAACGTGCATTCTGTGGGCAGTTCATGCAAATAACATTTTATTAATAAAAAAGAAAGAGCATTACAACGCGCCGACCTCTCCGCCAACACCTACTGAACTGGTTATTTTCGGCGATTAGCTCTACGTAAAGTAAAGACTGGTTCAGCAGCGCAGTTCGTTTTGCTTCGTCAGCCTGACGATTCTGCTCACAACAGTCTCCGATTCACCTCCAGTCTGTGACCAGTATACCACGCGAGATGGAATCCAACGCTGAACTTCTTACCGACGCCGCCTTCTTCTTGGAGACTGCGAATTTTCTGGAGATGCATTCATTGGTGTCAACCGACAATGTGGAGCCAAGCGGCACGCTAGTGATGCCTGAACAACGAGGAGCGCCATCCCTCGGGAAGGCTCGAGGGCGTGAAATCAGTGGCGAAGCAGCCATCAACACGCTGAAACTCTACCGCGAGAAAGAAAAGTTTCGACGACGCAAACAACGACAACGCATCAAAGACGAGACCGAAGGTCTACGGCGAAGAAGCGACGAGCTGAGTCTGCAACTCAAGAACCTAAAGTTTGGCAAGGAAGTAAAACGCACTGCTTCAAGTCGACAATTCTCCATCTGGAAAGAGGTTGCTTCGATCCAACGCGAGGAGCGACTGAAGTCAGAGGCAGAGCAGAGGAGGCTGACCACGACGGCGAATACGCAAGCGGCCTACATCGACAATCTGCGCGGGTTGTTCCATCTTCGCCAAAAACCAGCAAGTTGGATGAGCGGAACGGAGCACACGGAGAACAGCGACACTGGGCACTCGGAGAGAATCGACACAATAGAGCCTCGGCTTGGGATGTCGGATGTTCCTCTGTTTACGTCGCTGCTGCAAAAGATCGATGCATGTTACGCCCGCTTTGACGATGTTGTAAATCGATCAGGCCTGACAGCAATGCCTGTGGGGGAGGTGAACTCTACGCAGTGGCGCAACGACAGTGGTGAGTTGGAGTACCATCAAAAGCTGCAGAAGTTCGTGTATCCATTTGATATGAAGAAAGCCCATGAAGTCACCTGGAAAGCTTTCAAGTTTCAGCTGCATCAACGAGATCGACACGAATTCGACGGATTTGGACCTTATAATACCACGGTAGCAATGAGGTACCGCTTGGTCCGAACGTTGGCAACCGGAACGCAAGTTTCAGTGGTCCAGCGTCTTGCTGCCCGTCAATTCTTTGAGCAGGATCGAGTGGTGTGTATCTGGAAAATGTACACGGAAGGCGAAGGTATCTTTCGCGGGATGCACTCAACTCTAACTGGATGGGGTAGTGTTCGACCCAGAGGTCGGATAATACAATACTGTATTGTATTGATGGCAAAGTTTTGCCGCAATAAAAATTTCAATATGAGCACTCCGAATAATAAAAATTGCCGCAATTTAAGTATATTGGAGCAATATCTAGCCCTTCCGTGTACTCTTGCACCAGCCATGATCCTCGTGAGTATGCTGGCCCGATAGTCGACTGGCCAAGCCACGCCAAGCTCCTCATCATTAATAGTCGCTATCATGTTCTGTGGTAGGTCTGACGACTTAGTTCTTGAAACCCCACCCAAGAAACTTAAAAGTAGTCTTGCCCGTCTTGACTAGTTTTCTTAGCGTATATACTATCAGCAACATATAAGGCGGGGCCATCTTCGAATTTTGAAGTTTCATCTTCTGAGTCCGTGTTATTCTGGAAAGCCTCCAAGGAAGGCCGGCACCAGGGCAATTCAGCTGCTTCCTTCTTTAGTTCCTGTAAACTTTGCTCCAGGCTGTCAGGTAGACTTGTATGTTTCATCTTCACGTTAGCAAGTGCGAGGAGTTGCTTGTTTCGTTTGCTATTACGTAGCCGGGAAGTCTGGAAATGTAGCTGCTGCTTTACAAGTGCACTATACCAGGCAGCGGCTGGGCCTACAATTCTTATCTAGAGGACGACACAACACTTAATTATATGTGGTGATTATTCTCGACAAGATAGCGAGTCAAGAATAGTTTTCTTGACTGAGCATCTTGTTAGAATATTTGTTTCTAAGTAATTCATCGGAATGATGTAGCAACTTATAATTTGTGCTATTAGTTGAGATTAGAGTACCCTGTCCCTCCAGTTTGTTTCCGCTCGTTGCCGCAAATATTGCAGCGAAACAGCCCTTGACCTAGTATTGTGAAGAAGTAGGCGGCGATTTGCTTGTTTAGGACCATCGTAGCTCAAAAATGAAGTGAACTTTGAGTTGTGGCTCGCGTATCGTAGCATACCAAGACACTCTCGTAACCACCGGTTTCAGGTTGGTGTGGAGATAGTGTGGTGAACAACGAAAATGATGTCATAAGATCTGATTGGTGATGTCATATCGAAACAATTAAACGGTTCCTACCAGGGAGCCTTTTGCCATATTTATTGTCAATAATTGGTCCAATACCATATTGTATTGATAAGCTCAACTACCAATAATACATTGCAAAACCCAATAATTTATTGAATCGCAATTATTATTTCCGACCTCTGGTTCGACCGCCCTGATGGACCTGGAACGCTTGCCGAAGTTTGCCTTCGCCAGTTTCCAGCTCTCTTAAACGCGACACCTTCAGTTAGCAATGAATTTCACCAGTTCCTTCACATCACTCTCGACGAGGACAAGAATTCAGTGATGACATCGATCCAAAACCGACCGAATGTTCAAGAAACCTCGCAAAAGTAAAAAGGGACTACTTCAAGAACTTAGTAGTTCAACGAAAACAGTGTAGTAGCTACAACGTGTCGTTTCTTAAAAACGTATACCCGCTCTACCTCCTAAACATTTAAGGTAGCGTCCCATCCGTAGACACAAAGCCCTTTTCAAAAAAACCTTCTATACGGGGTATCCTTTTCGGACACTCATTAAAAAACAAATCGTTTAGTTAGTTTTAGGACACATAAGTTTGTTTAACTTAAGCTCAATAAATTGTAGCCCTGTTGAAGGAATGGCTGTTATATCGAACACTTTGCTCTTCAGCTGTAGCGCAGCATCCACCTTGCAAACTCTAAATCATTTTTGGTCCTTTGCTGATTCTAGGACAAACGAAGTGAAGTGCTTCGTGGTCACGAAATAATTCCACGTCTACTCGTTGCGCTACTACATGTAGAGCCACACCCGGACCCAGGTCGAATCCGAAAATCTCTTTTGGCGAATCATCGCTGGAGAAAACTAACCTGCGGTCGTTTCAACTATTCCCAAATGAACCTTTATTATTTATATATTTTCAGGTTCGCTGTTTAATTCGTGAACGGTGGTTCAGGTTCGGATCGCTCTGGCTGTGTTTGTCGGGGTGGTCCTGTGAAGACTAGGTAGAGTGCTACTTCTGGCGTCGTATTATCCTTGAAATTTTATTGTTTCGATACTTGCTTTGGGTGGAGCAGAAAATCTGGAATGTTTTTCAGGCGGCACTACAAGTCAAGGCGCTATCTGTTGCGTCGGCACTTGCGGATAACAGACATCGCAGTGTAGACTGTGAAGTTTACGCTTTCCTCGATATTTTACAGGAGCTCGGAGAAAGCGTCACAAGTGCAGCATTGCTAGAAGTAGCTGTGCTCGTTCTCTTGGGTGGTCGATCACTCGCACTCGCCATTCGCGTAAGGAAAGGATTTCGATGTCAAATGGCTGTGGTAAATAGTGTCGTGTCAGTCAGTAAGACGGCATGTCGACCATCTTATCATTAACATGCCGTGTAGTTTTACTATCGGAGTATGCACCTGACGGTACTGGGTGTCATCGCTGCTTTGAACTTCACCGTCGAGCTGCTTAAACTTGCACGAGCGATGGGATTGCTTCGTGACGCCGCACACGTTCATGAGTCTGGAGCACTTTAACACAAGAATAAAGCTCCTTTTTTATGATACAGGCCATTTCGCTTTGTTTTTTTTCTGGATAACTAGGCCATGTCTAAATTTTCTACTTCTATTAAGTGCAAGATATATACGCTCACTTGGCATAGTTCATTTTATTTTACAATTTCTTCTTGTTTTGATCAGTTTGTTGTTGGCACGCACCGATGCACTCGATTAAATAACGCAGGTGATTGTAGTCAGTATTGATTTTGGACCTGTACATTTACTCTCAGGCTCCATTTTTTTTTAGTTTGCGATCGACGTGTAGATTCCAAGGAAACCTCCCCCTAATGCCAAAATGGTGGGAGGACCCCTCCCACCTATAAAAGGTCCGGGAAACCCCATCGCGTTAATTATACCAGGCTTTTTTAGCCGACGCAGCGGTCAGCAATGCCAACGCTGGCAACACGCACGTTTTAAGTAGCAAAACAGAATATTTTAAAGCAAAAATAAATTAAAAAAAATTGCTTGCAAAAAGACAGGCTTTGTCCTGCTTTGTTTCGCTTTCGTTGTCGGACACCAGTGTTGATAATTGAAGATTGGATCGGAGTCGATGACAGAGAAATTCCCATCGGGTAAACTTAAGCTCGGCCTTAAGGTCCTGCAGCAATGGCGCATGGCCGGTAGAGTTTTCAACAGCTCAACGAGGAACATCAGCTTTGGATTGTCGGCAGAAAAAAAAACGTCTCTGTTCTGCACACAAATGATCATCATTGCTTTAATATCATCCGGCTTTCATTAAGACCCCGCGATGTTCTTCGTGACGGACGGAACTCATCAATGACCCCGTGGCAAAGCATCCTTTAGGATAGAAGGTAAATGGTTTGCGCTTCTGTCCGGGCCTTATTTTAAACATGTAGTCTAAAAGAGAGAACATGTATTTTTACACCTCTGTCAAACAACGGTTTGAGGCATTGCCGCTCGCCCTACGTAGCACAGTATCATTGAAGGGGTATTGCCATACCCCAATACTGTTGGCGTCATCAATCAAGAAACCTTATCCCAGCTGTGGAACCTTATGTATTTCTTGAGCTTGCTCACGTCTCGTCACGTGTGTTAAAGATTATGAAAGCTACTGGCTACAACGCTTGCTTTGTCAGTCTGACCGTGCTGCTCACAACAGTCTCCGATTCACCTCCTCTGTGACCGGTATACCACGCGAGATGGAATCCAACGCTGAACTTCTTACCGACGCCGCCTTCTTCTTGGAGACTGCGAATTTCCTGGAGATGCATTCATTGGTGTCAACCGAAAATGTGGAGCCAAGCGGCACGCTAGTGATGCCTGAACAACGAGGAGCGCCATCCCTCGGGAAGGCTCGAGGGCGTGAAATCAGTGGCGAAGCAGCCATCAACACGCTGAAACTCTACCGCGAGAAAGAAAAGTTTCGACGACGCAAACAGCGGCAACGCATCAAAGACGAGATCGAAGGTCTACGGCGAAGAAGCGACGAGCTGAGTCTGCAACTCAAGAACCTAAAGCTTGGCAAGGAAGTAAAACGCACTGCTTCAAGTCGACAATTCTCCATCTGGAAAGAGGTTGCTTCGATCCAACGCGAGGGGTGACTGAAGTCAGAGGCAGAGCAGAGGAGGCTGGCCACGACGGCGAATACGCAAGCGGCCTACATCGACAATCTGCGCGGGGCGTTCCATCTTCGCCAAAAACCAGCAAGTTTGATGAGCGGAACGGAGCACACGGAGAACAGCGACTTTGGGTACTCGGAGAGAATCGACACGATAGAGCCTCGGCTTGGGATGTCGGATGTTCCTCTGTTTACGTCGCTGCTGCAAAAGATCGATGCATGTTACACCCGAGTGGACGACGTAATGAATGGCTGTAATTTGGCAACAATGGATACTGAGGAGACAAACTCAACGCATTGGCGTAATGATAATGGTGAGTTGGAGTACCACCAAAAACTGCAGAAATTTGTGCTTCCCTACGATCTAGAGAAGGCTGTTCATGTTGTCTGGAAGAGTAATGAGCTCCCGCAACATCAGCGCGATCGTCAAGTGTACGACGGGTTTGGAAATCCCGGCAATACACTCGCAATCAGATACCGCCTGGTCCGGACATTGACGACCGGTACGTTTGTTTCAGTGGTGCAGCGGCTTGCTGTTCGTCGATTCTTTGAGCAGGACCGAGTTGTGAGTGTTTGGAAAGTGTTCACGGAAGGCGAGGGTATCTTTCGCGGGATGCATTCGACTCTGACAGGGTGGGGAACAATGCGCTCTCTGCTGGACGGCTCGGGCATTCTATGTGAAGTTTGCATTCGCCAATTTCCATCTCTCGTCAATGTGACACCGTCAGTTAGCAAAGAATTTCACCAGTTTCTCCAAGTAACCCTCGACGAGGACAAGCGCTCGGTGATGACTACGATCCAAGATCGACTTAGTATCGAAAAACGAGAACCCTTTCTCTAAAAAAAATCGGGGGGGGGGGCATTTTCT